TATATATATATGTATATATATGTATATATATATATATATATATGTACATACACACACAGACATTTTTAGGTAGATTGTAGTTTAAAAATGCACTTACGCATCTGTGTGTAGTCTTGACGCTTGATACCCCTTTGACCGCTTTATGACTAATTATGCACCACAGTACATCCTTATTCAGCAAAATCAGACGAAAGAAAGCTACTGAGAACACCATACGCCATTATTTATTAAACTGAGAAAGTCAAGCTGCCATAATAAATAGTTTTAATAATAGATTATTTCCTGCCAAGACATTTCCTAGCCTAGTGAAGAGTACACATACATAGCATGTACAACTTAGGACTTCATCAGCAAACATAAAAAAAACAATGAAATGCAATGCTAACTTTCACCTCTCTCATACGTGGTCACTTCATCACAGATAAACATGAGCTCACAGAGATGTTGGTTGGTCAGTTGGTCAGTAATAGAGAACACGTCCCACGCATTACCGCCGTCTGATTAAGATCAAGCGTTTAGCCTGAGACCACACTGCTGTTCACATTCACTAAACATCTGGCAGACTCTTCAGCGACCTGAAAACTAAGACAGAAGCAATGTTGTGTAGAAACGAGAACTACTTTTGGCTTTGTCCAAACTTTAATATCATTGTGAACATATGTGGTATATATTATGGGATACCACCAGGCCAGGAGTTCTATATAGCTCAAAAAAGGTCCAGGTTTGGTCGGTGCCGCTCAGAAATAAAGTCACTGGGGTGGAATTACATTTTTGTTCCTAGCAGGTCTTTACAGATACATATTAATACCTAAAAAGTACAAATGTGTTCCTTATAGTACCATAAAGGAACAAAAGTAAACCTTAAAGAGACAAAAGTGGAAACTCAACCAAGTAATGTCCACCTGTACGATACAAAAGTGGAGCTTTTGAAAGTTTTTGAATTACATCAGTGATAAATTTTGTACCTTTACTTCTGAGTGTGTTGCCAAGTGGTTCAGTGTGCCGACACATAGCAATAATGTGCTCACGGTGACCCGAGTTCAAGTCCTGGCTTGAGGTCCTTTGCCGATCCTTGCCCTTTCACGCTACTTCCAATTCATTCAGTTCGTAATCTCCACTCTCCTGTCCTCATAAAGACCCTAAAAAGTCCAGGTTTTGACTGTTTACACTGTACAGACTGATCACTATATGACATTCGTAAGAGGCATCATATAGCGCTGTATACTATCAAATCGCTCTCATGCTACTTTGAAGTCATGCAGCTATCATATGAAGAGTTCAGATGCAAAAACCTCTAAAAGGCGTTTGAAAGTGCCTTCAAAAAGGGCCATTTTTGTCAGGCTCTTGTGTGTAGGTTCAGTAATTTCAAGTTTATGGCAAAGAATACACTCTTCTAAAGGTTTTTAAAATGAAATAACTCAACATATACATGCTCATTTTCGATGGCCTTTAGAGGTTTTTGCATGTGAACTCTTCATACATACATGAATTAACGTCATTTTGAACGTTCTCTGTAGATCTCACCTTCACATGCACCACGATTGGTCGATTGTGTACAATGCTTGCACATTATTGATCAAACTGGCTTCAACAGGTAATAAATCCTGTCCATGACACATGTGGCAAGTATGGTCACTTAATAGATCATAATTATCTTTATTATTGACCTCTTTTGAATATAGGCTCATTTCATAACTACCCTAGAGATAAACAGTTGAGTTTCACTATTTTTCAATCCATTCAGCTGATCTTTAGGTCTGGCAGGAGCACTTTTAGCTTAGCATAGATCATTGAATCGGATTAGACCATTAGCATCTCGCTCAAAATTTTCAAAAAAGTGTTTTGATCATTTTATTATTTAAAGCTTGACTCTTCTGTTGTTACATTGTGTACTAGCTTTCAAAAGATTTTTAACTGCATTAGTGATGTATCTTCATTTCTGAGTGTGTTGCCAAGTGGTTCAGTGTGTCGACACATAGCAATAATGTGCTCACTGTGACCCGAGTTCAAGTCCCGGCTTGAACTCTACTTCCAATTCTTTCTGTCCGTTATCGCCACTGTCCTGTCCTAATAAAGACCCTAAAAAGTCCAGGTTTTGACTGTTTACACTGTACAGACTGATCACTGTATGACATTTGTAAGAGGTGTAGGCATCATATAGCGCTGTATACTATCAAATTGCTCTCATGCTACTTTGAAGTCATGCAGCTATCATATGAAGAGTTCAGATGCAAAAACCTCTAAAAGCCGTTTGAAAGTTCCTTCAAACATGAACTTTTTTTATCAGGCTCCTGTGTGTAGGTTCAGTAATTTCAGGTTTTTAGCAAAGAATACACCCGTTTTAAGGTTTTTAAAATGAAACTCAACATAAACACAGGAGTCTGAGAAAAATGCTCATTTCCGATGGAAATTTCAGATGGCATTTAGAGGTTTTTGCATCTGAACACTTCATATATACACATGTATTTACATCATTTTGAACATTCTCTGTAGATCCCAACTTCAAATACACCATGATTGGTCGATTGTGTACAATGCTTGCACATTATTGGTTAAACTGGCCTCAGCAGGTAATAAATCCTGGTCATGATGCATGTGGCAAGTCTTGATGCATGGTCACTTAATATATCATAATTCTCCTTATTATTGACCTGTTTTTGCTCAAATATAGGCTAATTTTATAACTACACTAGAGTTAAACTGTTATCAGCTGATATTCAGCACTTTTAGCTTAGCTTAGCATAGATTATTGAATCGGATTAGACTATTAGCATCTCGCTCAAAATTTTCAAAAAAATTATGATAATTTCTTTATTTAAAGCTTGACTCTTCTGTAGTTACATCATGTACTAAGACAGATGGAAAATTGGGTTTCTAATTCATACTGACTTCACTGATTCATACATACAACAGACTGTTGTGTCTAGGAGCTATACTCTCATTCCGGCGTAATAATCAAGGAACTTTGCTGCTGTACCATGGCTGCAGTAGGGGCAATGTTACACAGTGCTTTAAAATAATCCCTAGCACCAAACCCTACACTTGAACCACCAGTTAGAATCTGCGTAATATCATTGTGCCTGTTGCAGGCATGGTACGACAGCAAAGTTCTTTGATTATTACGCCAGAATACGAGTACAGTTTCTAGCCATATCGGCCTAGAAAATAGCAAATCTTCATTGTCTTGTCAGTCTTAGTACACAACGTATACAGTAGAGTCAAACTTTAAATAAGAAAATTAACTCTTTTAAAATTTGCACGTGATGCTAATGGTCTAATCTAATTCAATGATCTATGCTAAGCTAAGCTAAATGACACAAAAATTGGCTGAATGGATTAAAAACGAAACTCTAGGGGTGTTGTAAATTAAGGCCATGATCCATAAAAATTACTTTAAATAGCAAATTGGATGCGTCACAATTCCGTCTTGACTTTGTGCATGAGATCCTTCTGGTCAATCATCTCCGACTGTCTGTTCCAGCGGTGGTAGGCCAACAGTGCAATATTCTTGGCTGCCACTGAGCTCATCTCCATGGCACTCCCTGCCCACTCGATTCCATTAAGAAAGTACATGTTTTCATGCAGCACAACTGGCGGCAAGCCTTGAGTGCTGCCGTAATGAGGGTAGGCCATCCAATCGGTGACCTGCACAGAGTAGTAGGACTTAAAAAGGGTCTTCAGCTCACTCTTCTCCAGAGGTTTTGGGGAGAACACCTTGTAAACTCCCGCCTCCTGAGGCTGCTTTCGGCGGAAACCGGAGGTTATGTTGACGGGACAGACGCTGGCGGCGCTGTTGAAGAACAGCTCCTCGGTGTCGGTTGTGAGAATGCTTGAAAATGGGAAGAGCTTTGGATCTGGGAAGCCAAAGTAGGTGCAATTTAGGTAGCCATGGATGATGGAGGCCACCGTTTGGTGGTAGGAGCCCACCATTTCTGGAATTTGAGGCTCAAAGCCCTGGAATGAGATGCCAGAGTTGACATTTTGTTGGAGCGGTGTCGCTATTACTACGATGTCGTAGATCTCGGATGTCTGTTCGCTTTGAGAGCTGTAGGTGAGCTCATACTGGTGCTCTTCCCCTGAAATAAAAAAGAAAATTCTTCATTTTTAAAATGTGAAGCAAATTATTGTATTATTCAATACACCCACTTTAGTTTTGAAGGGCACCTATGGTGAAAAATCTATTTTTCAAGTCTTTGGACAGCCATGTGTGTAGGTATAGTGTACAGACTGTCACATTGGGGTGAAATAAACACACCCAGTCCTTTTTTTTCCAATTTAACAACATAAAAACGGTGGACCAATTGGAGCGGGTTTGAGACCGACCGCAACTTGACATAGGAGTGGCAGATCAACATTCAACACATGATCGCTCTCATTGGCGCCATTGTTTGTACGCTGTACAGTTGAATAATTCTGACTTCGATCAACTGTGTGTGTGTGTGTGTGTGTGTGTATGTGTGTATGTGTGTGTGTGTGTGTGTGTGTGTGTGTGTGTGTGTGTGTATATATATATATATATGTGTGTGTGTGTGTGTGAATATATACCATTACATACAGTTGAACTCGGAATTATCCCCCCGCCCTCCCTTTGATTTTTGATTTTTTACATTTTTCCCAAATGATGTTTAACAGAGCAAATAAATTTTTAAAGTATGTCTGATATTATTTATTCTTCTGGAGAAAGTATTATTTTTTATTTTGGCTAGAATAAAAGCAGCTTTTAATTTTTTAATAAACATTAAGGTCAAAATTATTAGCCCCTTTAAGCAAAAAAAAAAAAAACTTCGATAGTCAACAGAACAAACCATTATTACACAAATAACTTGCCTAATTACCCTAACCTGCCTAGTTAACCTAATGAACCTAGTTAAGCCTTTAATGCCACTTTAAGCTGTATAGAAGCGTCTTGAAAAATCTTTTATTTATATATATAAAAGACAAATTCTTTAAAGTACTTTACATTTTTTTCGTCATAATAATCCTGATACATTCAAAAATACTCCAGGTCTAACAAAAACCTTAAATTACTCTTGTCGATTACCCCACATTTATTCCTTCGTCTTTATGTCATAAAAGATTCTCAAAACCACGTGAAGAGCAGAGACAGGATATTTCCAAGAATCTGTCTTTTATATTTGAAACTAGATTCTCAGAAGATCTGTCCTTTTCTTTGCTGTTGGACACTCTTCTTTATCAGTGACCCATAAGCAACAGACACCACTGGGACGCAGTGACATTCTGCTGCTACTATCAATAGGACAGAAGATGTGTTAGATACTGCTGTCAGTTAGAAACGCAGGCTGCTCACGAAAAGAACAGCATTTAAAGAGCCTGTGGTATTAAACACACCATTAGAGGTCTAGAAGTCAGTGAGCTCAATGGCTGTTCCAACAGAAATCATAGCAGAATTTTAATTTTCCTTTCATTTTTCTTCAGCTTAGTCTATATTTCAGAGGTCGCCACGGCGGAATAAACCACCAACTATTACAGCATATGTTTTCAGCAGATGCCTTTCCAGCCACAACCCAGTATTGGGAAACATCTGTACACACACTACTGACAATTTAGTTTAGCCAATTCCCCAATAGCGCATGTGTTTGGACTGTGGGGGGAACCGGAGCACCCGGAGGAAACCCACACCAACACGGGGAGAACATGCAAACTCCACACGGAAATGCCAACTGGCCCAGCCGGAACTCGACCCAGCGACCTTCTTGCTGTGAGGTGACAGTGCTATCCACTGAGCCACCCTTTCTCACTTTTGTTTTGTTCATTTATTTTTGAATTGATGACCATGTGAAATACCTGTTGAGCGGAGAGTAACAGTTGTAACTGGACTCTGGATAAGATTTGCTCTGGCCAGTTTGAGCAGTCCTGAGCACACCAGCTTGTTTCCTCCTTCCACGGCCCAGAGATTGGCCTGAGCACCAGCTAGAGACACAGCACCTGTCCCAGACAAACACAGCACTCAGAACAGATGAATAAGAAGATAACTAACATGACTTTTTTTTGACTCATGACTCATTGCTCTGGGCCCGGGGATTCGGAGCGAGGGAGCGGTAAGCGCGATTTAATACCACAGAAAGAAGGACCGGTAAATCCTCACCTAATACCTCTAGGGAAAAACCACACATGAAGTCAGTGGGCCGGCCCTTCTCCGCATCTTCAGGTATGCCGATTATTTGCAGATTTTGGTCGACAACTCCTATTCTGGAGATCTTGTTGTTGCTTTAGCAGCTTCTGTATTTGTTTTTTAAAAGTTGAAAATGTAGATTCCATTGTCTCGAGCGAGTCATGGTGGAAGTTGAGCACTGTTTCCATTTTCTTCATAGTGTCAGTCATATCAGATTGCCTAGTTTAAACGGAATGAATTTGTCCTGCTATCTCTAGTTGTCGGTAGGCTTGGGCGGTAATACCGTAATATGGTATACCACGGGATCCAAAAATAGCAACAGTGTCAGTTTCCGTTATACCGTCATAAAAACAATGCACTTAAATAGGAGACAAGTATTAAATATTATTTATTTAATGCCTACAAATGCGTATGCATGATTGTCATCACGCGACAGTGTGGAGGAGAGACAGAGAGGGACAGGGAGAGGTGAGGTGGCGAGTCGCGCAGCAAGTGACCTGCAGTTTGGCAGTATTTCGGGTTTCGACCGAACGAGAAGGGAGACGTGGTAAATATGAACTAGAGGTCTGCATTCCCTCGGTGCGGGAATAAATTTATGAATAAACCGCGAGAGCGGTCGGTAACTCTTGTATAACTTGAAAGGGAGCAGGCACGCGGTCTAACAATATTGCTCCCGAGCGAGCGAGCACGCACGCATCCGTGTAGATGCTGTTTGTTTGTTTGTGTGTGTGTGTCTTTGTGAATGAGAGAGAGAGCGTTGTGCTGTGCGTCTCTCTCTCTCTCTCTGTGTGTGTGTGTGTGTGTGTGTGTGTGTGTGTGTGTGTGTGTGTGTGTGTGTGAAAGAGAGAGAGCGTCCTGCGCAGATCTCTAATACGAACAAGACAAACAGGTGACCGCGAACCTAAGGTCACATATACGGTGTTCAGTTTCTGAATTATTTAGGCACAAGCCAGCAGTTTGGTGACACTGTCTGAGCCTTACGTCATAATTTTTTTTATTATGCACGGTAATACCGGAGACCGGGGTCAAATATGGAGGAGGTTTGACAGTATCAAAATTTGGATACCGCCTAAGCCCAGTTGTAGGGCATCCATTTTGGTTTTGACTTCTGAACGGAATGTTTCGACAATCAATCCAATCTCAGACCAAAAGCTTAACATCTAGTCGCGTGAGGATATCAGTTAAGTCTTAACCAGTTGAAGAAGTGTTTTGTCCTCTAGCGAAGATTGCTCAGTGCAACTGTTGCATGTAGAGTTAGCAGCGACCTCTATGCTAGCTTGCTTTAGGTAGGGACTATCAAGCCACGTTTGTCTTGTCAATTTTTACACACTTTTGCTCGCCATTTTAATACAGATCAGTTAACCGTAGATGCAGGATTTTAGTGGAGACAAATTTGTCTTTTTCAAAGTATACTCGCGTGTAATTGGCGTTAATAAAATTAAAAATAGTAAGAGCAGAGCAAAACACTACTACCTCCTCATCTAGCTGTCGGATGTGGCTTTTTTTAACATGGCATTTTTATTCTCAGGGTTCCCACACTTTCATGAACAGCAGATTCATGCAAGGACTTTTGAGGATTTTTTAAAGCACCATTAATTTTAAATCAAGCACCTTTTGGCCTGTTTCCACTGAGTGGTATGGGACGGTTCAATATGCTTTTTGGCTGTTTCCACTGTCAAAAGGTAAAAAAAAGCGAACCGTACTGTACCACTTTTTGGGATGCCTTTCCAAAGGGTACCTAGCACAACAAAAGGGTACCAAAAAGCATAACACGACGCGCAGCTGAACGCTCTTGGTTTACAGAGAAACATCATTATTGCGTGCACACGCCAGGAGAATGAAAGGAAGGAAACGAAGCCCCTTTTTTAAACACACAGCCGAGACATTACACCGTAATAATATATACATATAATAACAAGCCATGGTCGACTGTTGTGATGAGTCAGACGGCATTGCATCCATTTGCAAGCTTTATTGAAAGCACACATACAAGCAACAACAAGGGGCAAACCAGGAATCAGAACGAGGTACAGGCTAGAGTTCAAGGCAGGCAGATATCTTACTTAGTCGAAATAACAGGCTGGAGTTCAGGGCAGGCAGATGTCTTTCCTAATCGTTGAGTCGGGCAAAGGGTCAAAACACAGCTCAAACGGAGGAATGGAGAGGAAATCGCTCAGTAATGACAGCAGGGCAAATCAAGACTTCGCAATGAACCAGAGCGTGAGAGTGGTATATATGCGCTGGGATGATGAGAGGCACCTGGACCGCAATCAGTGACAGGTAGAAGGGCTTATGGGATTTTGAGTCCGTGAGTCGAATCAGAATTCGGGCGATGGCTCCCTCTGGTGGTGGACGAGAGGGTTGGCATCGCCCTCATTTACAACATCGACTCGAGCTCGAGGAATTCAGACATTTTGTTGAGTTTGCGTTTAATTCAGCGATCGCAAAAAATCGCTAAAAACTTTGTGGTCTGATAAGTATTTATGTATATAAAGCATGTGATTAGTAAGAAGTGCTTCTCATGCGATATGTGAACTTCAAGCGAGAAAAACGTCGACTGCAACTTTCTGTCGTACACCACGCGTACCAAAAGGATACCATTGGTTCCATTTGGCAGTGGTAGACACAAGCCTGATAAAGGTGACCTGTACTGTATCTCTCAGTGGAAATGAGGCATTTGTAATTTATACCACAGTAGAGCTGCACAATTAATCGAAAAAAGATCGCGATCTCGATTCGACCCCCTAGACGATCTTAATCCAGCATTTCTACGATTCTGTCAATCATATTTTCAAATTCAGGAGAGAAGAAAAGGCGGCTGCACGAGTCTTTTTATTGTTTCACACACGTTGCTCAGTGACATGGACACCTCCAAATTATGTTGAATGAGTCACATACTGTATTTATAAGGTATAATTCACCTAACAATGTCATTTTTGTCTTCATATAATGATGTTTTCGCGGCTGGGAAATCACACGTGACGTGGGCTGCTGACCGTGAGCTGTTATCAGAGAGAGGGAGGGAGCGCGCTCTACTTAATGATAGACGCTCGCTCGTCTACTTTAGTGAACAGAACTTGCATATGCTGTAACAGGTAATACAGTTGTAAATAATACTTAGTTTGTGGCACAGAGGGATCGTTTGGGAGCCGCGCGCGAAGTATGAACAACACTTAGCAGTCAAAATGAAACTGAAAGTGTGCACTTCATTCAAATGATCAAATCGCATTTTAGAGTTATGATTACGGCAAGCATCTGATGTTTTTTCTTTCATAGCGAACAGAGTTGTGCATGAAAATAAATGTTTACAGTGTCAGTATACTTACTCTAGCCTATACATTGTTGAATATAATCTAATAATAACAAATGTCTGATTTTACCAGTGAAAAAAATTGTCTAATAATGTTATCAATGACAGATTGCAATCTCAAACATCATAATTCAACCTCAGAATTATTATAAGTAGAACAGAATTATTTATAGAAACCAGTAGACCCACACATAATATTATTACTGATGTTGTGCCATATGTTTGTTTTTACCATACCTTTATTCTACATCTACAGAATCGTGAGAAAAATCGTGATCTTTATTTTAAGCAAAAAAAAATTGCGATTCTCATTTTAGCCAGAATTGTGCAGCTCTATACCACAGCATATGTTGCGCCATGAAAGTCCTTATTGCACTTAACATTTCACTAAATATTTACGTTACCAATGTCAGAGTAATTTTTAAAAATGTAGAAAATAACTTTATTTAAATTAGTTGAATTCAATACTGGTAATAATGAAATGCAGTTTCTGAAATATTGATCAAATGTGCATTATTTGTCAGTGGTACTGTAAAAGATTTAAATGGAAGGAATGTATTTCTTTGTTTTTGAATTTATGAAATTAAAGTCTTAAATTTAATTTGGTCAAAGTCAAAATTGTTAGCCCTCCTGTGAATTTTCCCAATGACTTTTTCACAGTATTTCCTATAATATGTTTTCTTCTGGAGAAAGTCTTGTTTGTTTAATTTCGGCTAGAATAAAAGCAGTTTTGAATTATTTTAAACCCATTTAAGGTCAAAATTTTTAGCCCCTTAAACATTTTTTCTTTGATAGTCTACAGCAGTGGTTCTCAAAGTGGGGGTCAGGACCCCCCGAGGGGTCGCGGGGCAATGAAGGGGGGGGTCGCCTGGTGATTTCCAAAAATCTATTTATTTTAATTAAACCATAAGAATTAACATATTTTATCCATAACTATACTGAAAATAAAACTAGTCGTTTATAGTTACTATATACTATATAGTTACTATAGTAGCTTATAGTTACTAGTTCTATTGGATTGTGACCCCTGGGGTAATTACATTATATTAAAGGCAGCAATAGCGTCAGATGCATTTTGATTTTATAACATCAGGTTATACTTTGTGGCACATTTAAAGCACTGACACAAATTTAATTGGTGTGTCTGCGTCATTGCATGCAAGGTTTCTGTATTTATAACCACCTCAGAGGATATTGGGGGTCGCGAGTCACTGGCATTGTTATTTTGGGGGTCCCGGGCTGAAAAGTTTGGGAACCCCTGGTCTACAAAACAAACCACTGTTATACAACAACTTGCCTAATTACCCTAACCTGCCTAGTTAACCTAATTAAGCCTTGCAATGTCACTTTAAGCTGAATACTAGTATCTTGAAAAATATCTAGTAAAATATTATGAACTGTCATGATGGCAAAGAGAAATTAGTTATAAGAGTTATTAAAACTATTATGTTTAAAAATGTGTTGAAAAAATCTTCTTTAAGCAGAAATCAGGGGGGAAAAAAT